GCAAGTCTAGGTCTTGATGTGTTTCATTTTGATGTAGACACCGCCTATTTGTACTCGGAAGCTTGACGTTCCCGTTTATATGCACGCACCGGCAGGAAGCATTGACCTGGGCTATTATCCGCCTGGTCATGTCTCAAGTTAAAACGAGGACTTTACGGTCTTCGTCAGGCGGGCCGGCTATGGAACATTGACATCACTTCCAAGCTTTCTACCCTCCATTTCAACACACCGCTGCCGATGAGTCTTTATGGTACTACGACGGTTAAATGTTTTCTCTGGCATGGAACTTTGGCTATTCCGCGCCCTCAGCCTTCACTATTCGTTGAAAAACTTAGTCTTGGCACGCCATCTCGTTGGATTCAGAATGCACCAAACTTCTCAATCTATTGCTCTTGATCAGACAGTCTACATAGACGACATGCTCGCCACTTTCAACCTCACAGATGCTATTCCTAGGCACACGCCTGGCAACGGTATACACCCAGCTTCCCTTGATGGCCCTGCATACAATGACAAGAATTTTCGTCAACTTCTCGGTGCTTTAGGATTTGCGGCCAATATGACACGCATCGACATTGCCGCTTGCTTGAATCAGCTTGCCGCATTCGCCGCTAATCCCAACGAATTGCACTACAAAGCACTTGTGCGCATTCTGCAATATCTCTAGGCCATTCGTCATTTTGCATTGGTCTACGTTCCACAAACATCATACGCTCCTCTCGTCGCCTACACCGACAGCGACTGAGGCGGCTGCCATGACAATCGTCGGTCGCAGTCCAGTACCGTTCTTTGTTTCAATGGCACTCCGGTTTTCTGGAAATCTCAAAAACAGAAAACCACTGCCCTAAGTTCAGCGGAAACTGAATATGTTGCATCGTCTGAGTCTGCCCGCAGTGTCGCCTGGCTTCGAAATATCCTGACCGCCATGCGCGTACCTCCTCAACATCCCACCCCTCTTTTTGCAGATAACCAATCGGCGATCGAGATTGCGTTGGGCACCGGTACGCCCAAAGGACTCAAACACATCGCCATACGTTATCACTACGTACGCGACTGTGTTTAGCAAGGAGTTTTTCTCATGTCCTACATCAGCACTAACGAAAACATTGCTGATTTACTAACTAAGTCCCTTGGTCGCGAGAAACATGAATATTTCCGCGACCAACTCCTGAAAAACACGCCTGCTTAAGCATGACGTCCCGTCCACTTAGTTATTATAAACCTAAACCGGGGGTTTCAGTTGCATAATTACCTGTTCACACTATTGCTTTAGTTACTGAATAATAATATAACATCGCATATTCGTATACACTTTTGCTTATAAATAATAGTGAAAGTATGTAGACTTTTACTGGTATGTAGTCAAACTTTTTTAATACTTTTCTAAACTATTTATAAGTAAAAGTGTATACGAATATGCAATGTTATAATATTGTTCAGTAACTAAGGTAATATCTCGCGCTCTCAGGAATGAATTATCCGCGATTACAGGCACGTCCTCGACAAATCGAACCTTCTCCGGGACGACGTTTTCTTTTTCAGCGCAACCTCTCGTTGGCGACCGACAGCGGCTACTCGATCTCAATGCATTTATGTTAGGTCACACACCCTGTGGTTTCCAGCGGATCACATGTATTGCATCATCGGTTTGCTTTGACCACGTTTCCAAGACCACGGCGACAGTCTTAAATTGGACGATCCTACCATTGCACCAGTACAAAATCGTACTCCAGCGCGGGCAGTGGAGCTGCGCCAGGATTCGCCACAATAATTGTGGCAATTTATCGAGATGGGAATCCACCAGGATGTGGCCAAACAAAAAAATTCAATGCACAGGCGTTTCTACACACTATCACTACCGAGGTGGAATGTAAGCCGGCGTTACAGCGCATCTACAACACTGAGCTCGGGATGCTCCAAAGGCATTGTATGTGCTTCGTGCGGCGTGCCAGTCATTTGCCAGTATGACTTTCCCTCAACATCAGACGGCGGTACTTTTGGATATGTACGATTATTTAGACCCAGCACGAGCAGCGGCGCATACAATCAACTTACATGTCCAGCGCGACATTGCCCCAGCGAACTTCACATCCCTTTTTACCTTACGTCAATACTCGGGGTTCGAGCGACCAGGATGCGAATAACAAGAGAGGACGCTCCCCGCCTCGGGATCCGGATGGTAATACTCGACACCACTCGCGTAGCCCCGGCAGGGAAGATCGCCATGCTAGAGATGACAGATACGGCAATGGTCGACATACACCACCCACTAAACGGACACCACAATGTCCTAAGTGCACACTTCACAACAGGAGCCCCGATTGTGGTATGCCTCTCGTGTAAGAAGACGGGACACTACAGGAATAAGTGTCCAACACATCCATACACAGAAGTCAATGCCGCCATCCCTCACTCCCTACCTCAATGACTCTCGGAATGGATGGGTCCGGTGGCGTCACAGGCTCACGCCATACGATAATACTGCAGAAGTGGTCACTAAATTGAATATCCAGTGTATTTACATGGGTATGGGAGGACAGAAGAAAAAGTCCTCACTTCACGAATTACATCTACTTTATTGTTAGATGGTTTAGCTTCGACCGGCGTCGCCACTGAGTTCAAAACTAGCGAGATTGTGTTTCTAGTCTCGGACTGGATACCAAGGGTTTTAGGAGTGTGAGATTTTAATGGGATTCAACACTTTACAGCAATATCTTATTGTGACTACATGGGATACGATATGTCTGTCACTCTAGCACATTTTGCACTACAATTTAATACGGTTATGTTCTTGGTGCCGCGGGCTCCCGACTATATTACCCCAATGGACGAACTCAGAGTTCCGGACCTGGATGCAGAGGTGAAAGAGTACGACTTTACTGGATTTGACCGATTGGCAAGGTTGTTAAATAAGTCACCGGAACAGGTACAACAGTTGAAGGACGGGTTCAAAAAGGTACGATTCGATTCTAACAACACGAAAATGATCAAGTACGTTGATGCTAAGCTACAGCTGAAGGAAGGAGCGCAGCCATCCCGACAAATATCTTTTAGATCCGGTATTTAAGGAAATAGAGCTTCTTAAAGTAGCGCAACTTCAGAAAGCCGAGCCTGGTGATAAATACAGCCGAAGGGTTAGCTCAGTAGAAACGGTAGTGAAAGATAAGAGCAAGGTGCCACAATCGAAAGACGACTACCGCATTACAATCAATTATGTCCAGGTCAACGAAGAAACCGTCCGTATAGCGTTCCAACTACCAATGGAAACCGAGCTAACGGAGCATTGTACTAATGCAGTGATCATGACAGTTTGTGATATGGCTGGGTCGTACCACCAGCTCCACCTCGATGAAGAGTCACGAGGCATACTCACCTATGTCACTGCTGACGGGGATTTTCACAGACCCACATGCTTGCAGGAAGGCATCCAGAACGGGGCTTTCGATATGCAACATTGTAACACTACAATCTTCGCAGAAATCGATGACGCGGAACCATACATGGATAACGTGCCAATCGCCAATATATATATATATATATATATATATATATATATAATAAGTTAGTTTAAGTTTAGTAGTAGTAGTTGTAGTATT